GCAGAAAAGTAAAGACAAAAAAATAAACACACAAGTCCATGATAAGATTATGAGATGATTAAATCTGGCAGTGCCGGTTAGGCATCTCCTCATAAGCTTATATGAACATAAAATAAAGCTATACAAAAAATTTTAAGCTTTTAAATGATTATCACATCTTTTAATAAATACTACTTAAGACATCCGAGGACGCCCTTAACGAAAAACTACTCCATAAAAAGGGAGTAAAGAAAACTTACTTGAAAAGGGGAAGGAGAAGGAGAGGGAAAAATTGAAAATGTTTCTCTTATTGATTGTATATAAGATTTACATAAAAGTGAGAGAGGGAGAAGTAGAGAGAAGGAGGAGAATTGGGAGGAGTGAGAGAGGAGAGGGAGGCTATGGGAAGGACTCTTGGACTTCTGTCCAGCACAAAGGACTTACGAAGTCTTTATATAGAAAAAAAAAAGTAAAATTTGAATATAAAATTAAACATATTGGACCCATTTCACATGGGTCTTTAAAAAATAAAATAAAAGTAATTATACATATGAGACTCGTATCACATGGGTCTTTGAAAAAATAAAAAGTAATAAGTACATGTGGGACCCATATCACATGGGTCTTTGAAAAAACAAAAAGTAATAAGTACATGTGAGGACTTGTATCACATGGATTTTTAAGAGAGAAATTTTCACGAGAGTTCTCGTGAACTCTTTTTTTCTTTATTATTATTATATCAAAAAATTAGTTCAATCTTTTCGTCATTAACACGCAAGACTTAAAGGATCTAACAACATATAACGGTAGAAGAACAATGACAAGGTGCAAGATATCCTTATCTGTCATTAACCTTTGTCATCTTTTGATATTGTCGTATGACGTAAGGGATTATGTCATGAGAAGTTTTTCAAAATCTTCAAGGACAAATTCGTCTTTATCTGAAAGACTCATTGATTGTGGTGAGACAAAAATTTTATAATTACGCCGTACATAAAAAACTTTGCCAAGTTTTACCAAAAGATTGATAGTGGTGGTTTCAGCTAACAACTCCTTTATAACATTTTCTTCTTCAAATTGATCATATCTCACTGAGGTGAAATGAGGGTTATTATGATCAATATTTTAGAGTTCATCACTAAAAAAAATGTCTTATATATATATACTAACGGAAACACAAACAATAAAAATATATGTGTATCCACATTTTTATAATTAATTTCTTTTAAAATATATTTTTAAAATTTTATTTGTTTTATCTCTCTACTTTTTAAATATATTGACTTTTTTTTCAATTATATCTCATATTCTTTTCATATATTTTATTATTTTTTAAATATATAAATCATAATAAATATTTTTCTTTAAATTAAAATATTTTTTTTTCTTATATAAAAAATTAGAAAAAAAATTCTTATTATACACAATTATAAATAAATCATAATAACTATTTTTATTTTAAATTACGATACTTTATTTTTCTTTTTTCAACAATACCAGCAAGTGATTAGAAAAGGAATTCACGATATATTATATTCATTCCTAAAAAGAATTTCGGATGTTTGGATTTTGTTAAATGAAGAACGATTTTTATTTTTAATTATGACAGTTAACAATAAGCTTTTTAAAGAAGATAAGAAAACAAAGAAGCCTGTTTTTAATTATGTGATTTTGAGAGAGGTTTCTTTATAAATAAAAACAATTTAAATTATGTTTTCTCTTCTTTATTTCTCCAATTATACGGTTTCTTTAAATTTTATTTCATATTTAATGATTCTTTTTATATATAATAATATTTTTTTAATTAATTTTATATTAAATTTTAATTTTAAACATAGAAAGTAAAGTTTGTATATGCCCACAATTTCATATAATTAATTTTTTTTAAACATTATTTTAAATTTTTTTCATTCTTTAAATATTTTTTAAAATTTTCTTTTTTTATCATATTTTTACTATTTTTTAAATATAAATCATAAAAACTATTTTTCATTAAACTATAATACTTCTATTTTTCTCCTGATAACATAAAAAAACAACAAGCTATTTTAAAATAAATATTTTTATATATAATTATAGATTATAATAACTTTTAATATTAAAAATATAATATAGTAATTTAATATTATTTTGTTTATGTTGTCACGTAAGATTAAAAATAATTGTCTCGTAACTTAAATGCTATTCATCTACATCAAATATACCTTTTATTAATAATAATAATCTGATATTAACAAAAAGATATATTTTTGGCGATGCTTTATGCTTTGAGAAAATATATCTTATTACAAAATTATAAATTGTTAATGAAAAACAACAACGATAATGATAACTAATAAAACATAAACAGTGTCCCGATAGCATTGAGTTAACTTAAAATAACTAAAAAATACTTTACTTCATGGATAACAATTTTTTCCTTCTTAATTCATTCATTAAAATAGGTAATTTTATATTAAAAATCACAACAATACTTGTGTAAGTTTAGGGTGTTAACTTGTCTTTTCTAATTTTCCTGGAAAACACTCCATCCCAAAACATGGGACCAATAATTAATAAAGTTTTATATCAATCAGAACTTAAATATCAATTGAGGGAGAAAATGACACGATAGCGATTGATTTAATAATTATAATAAATAAAAAGAAAGACAATCCAAGATCTTTTCTTTTCTTTTTCTTTTTTCACGTCTCTTATTTATTATTTTTCCTACAAGGAAAACAATATTTCCTCCACGATTTCCACGCCATGATACTTGAATTTCAAAATAGAGGATCGTTAAAATACATTTTCTAACATACTTTTCTAAACACATTTTTTTTATTTATTAATTGAAATTTATAAAATCAAGAAAAATATGCATTAAACGAAGTTAAAGTTTAATAATTTCTTTTCATATACATAAGTTTGGGGTTAAGGACATTTCTTCTACCACTCCAATCAACACACGTTACTAAACACTGTATAATAAACAGTGAAAATCAGGGTCTGGTTTTAATATATGTTGAGAAGTTAATATAAGTTCCAATAATTCTTACTTCTTAATCACAAAATGGCGAGTTTGGTTTTTCTGCAATTCCATGTTTCTGGTTTCTACTCTGAATTGCCCTTAAAAAAACTCATTTTATTTATAAATAAGATATAGGATTTCCTCTTCTTTCTCAAGCAAGAAGACAAGAATAAATTTTAGAACAGAAGAAAAAGTTAAACAAAAACCAAAGAAGAAAATAATAAACCAAAGTATACATTATATTATATATTACACACGTTAAGAAATGTGAATAATAAGATGGTGCTCATCTGTAAGACTTGAGAGTGGCTCCACAAAACGTGCAAATAATAGCTTTCCAAGATTTGGAGTAAAACGGAACGTAGCAAAATCTGGTTTGTGTCATCATATCCGCCACGCTGGCTCCGCCGCCGCACCGCGAGCACGTCCCCGCCGCCGGCTTGCTCCGCCGCACCTTCCTCTTCTGATCCACCAGAAAACAGAAACACACCATCTCTGTTGGATCAAACTCTTACCTTGTTCTGTTTCACTCTAGATTCCTCCTCTCTGGTCCAGTGAAAAGATTATGGAGAGAGACTTTCAATGGTTGCGTGTGCTTCCCCATAACATAATATGTCACTTCAAAACGGTATTTTATAGTAAGGGACATCAAATCAAGTGATTGGGTGGGGGAACTGAATTTCGTTGTGTTGGATGAACGACACGTGTTGGAGGGAGTTGATGGATGCATGACACGTATTGATGGGCATGGATAGCTTTTTGGTTGAATGGTGATGGCTGAAGATTTGGCACGTGAAGTTTCGGTTGTGAATGAGTAAATGAGAGTGAAGAAGGTGTAAATGATAGTTTTTGTAAGATTTTATCAACAAGAGTTGTTTCGATGACCAAATACGTCTACTTCTACTTCTACGTCATGATTATGACCACGTATATCTACTTTTTCTTTGTTTCAACGTAAGTAGAGAAGAACGAAGTGAACGAGAAAAAGTGGTTTGTTTGGCTAAACAAAATGCAAATAAAATCTCTCCTTTTTATGAGAAAAAAAAATAAAGAATTAAAGTGAAAAATTTAGTATTTATTGAAAATTATAGTTTTGACTTGAACATAGCATTAAAGTGTCTTGTTTTGCTTCTTTAGGACGAGTAGAGCGTACCTCATGATATTTGAACCATGAGTGTCTTAGTGCTACCATGTATGGATTAACGTTTTAAAATTGAAGATACTTTTTATATCTTTCGATTTTTATTCTTCTTCAGTTAAATCACTCATTGAAGAATATAATAATTGTTAACCTGGACTTAATATTTAAAATATATATACATACTAATCAAGAAAAATGAAATGGTGGGTATACTTGACCAGCAATCAAAATATGATAATAGTGGAGAAGGTTCATCCTAAAACAGTGCACTATATATTTTATAGTGAGGCTTTCGTTTGGCCAATTAATTGAAGTTCCCATGAACTTCATTTCGATGTTTTTATCATAATTTTATTTTTAAAAAACATTTTAGTGACCTAAAAGCTAAAAATATTTATAAAATATTTTGTCTTAAACTCCAAATAACATGTGATTTTTTAGCATATTGAAACAAATGCCATTATGTTTGCATTATGTTATAACTTCTTAACTTCGGTCCACTTATTCAATTTTGAGAATCTCCACCATCCCTTTTTCAAAACAACGACTAGTGTCTCGTATGAATTCGTTTGGGGATTGTTACTTATATTAGATGAGAATATCTATTTTATGTTTGTTTTTGTCCTCTATTTCCGTAGTGAAGTATTTATAACATCTGATATTAATGACTTTATATATAAAATAATTTGTGATATATATTCACATTATTGTCAAATAATTTATATTCAATTTTAACTATGATAGATATACAATTAATTAAATACTATGCAAAATATTATATTTATTATTAAATAATAGTATTAGAAAAAAATATCTATTTGAAAAAATATATATTCCCTTGCTCGGTGGAATGATTTACGTGAGAAGTGAATGGACGCCTTCGTTGTCATGAACGACAAGGTCCACACGATGGTGGACTGCACAACAAATTGTGAGAGAGTTTGAGTGGAGAATTGGATAGACAGTGGAGGGGAGGGAGTGTGTGGTGGAGAGGACTTTGTATTGATGTGACTATTTGGAAAAAATTAAAGGGTTCGACGCAGGACACAGTGTGCAAGAGGAATTGGAGAAGGGTTTGCCAAGGTTTCTGTGTGGGGTCACCATGGATGGGAAATTGTGTGTGATGTGGGAGTTCCAAGGGAATTGGAAAGAGTTGGAGATGTGGTGTGCTAAGATGGGAGTGAAGAAGACTCCCGTTAGTCAAAATATGTTTTTCACTTACTATAAAATAATCTACTTAAAAAAATGTAATGATATTTTAAAAATAATAACGGAAAAATTTATGTTGGATTTTTAAGGGGTCAACGTAAATGATGTGTTTTATTTTGTTTAGGATTTTTTCTTCACATGACAATATGTATTTAAAAAGTTCATGCTTAAAATATTTAAAGAGGATTGGTAGTTTCGTGTCAGTAGGTTGAATCCTATTGGTAGATTAGTTATTAGTTATTCTTTCAATTATTGTATGAATCTAATTTTTTTATTTGTATTATAGGATAAAAGACTAACTGTCTACGAACATCAAAACCAGAAGGATGTACCCCATCTATTATCGTGGAGCGAATATGCATTGTTGAAACAACGACGCATGAATGCTAGAGTATATTTAACATGACTTTGTATGCTGACCTTGTGTCTCCATGCCTGTTATAAGATGTGGAAGACAACTCGGACAATGACACTTAAATTATTATTACAGGTATTTTAAGATTCATCATCATTGTCGGAACATGATATTTTACAAATAAGGGAGCAATGAACTAGTTTTTTTTTTACAAAATTTATGATACTTATAAATTTTGTAAATATAGTTAATCTTATGTAATTTACAATAATTTTGTTGTATTTAATACATATTTAATTTTTTTTAGTTTAATTTGATACATATTAATGTACTTTAGTAATTATATATAATTAAGTTGTACTCTGGATAACTGAGTTTGTGTATATGAATATTTTTTATACAGGTTTTAGTTGCTAAATAAGAACATAACTACATATTTTAAAAAAGTGTCAAAATTTACGTCGGATGTGGCGATACTTGACGTAAATTTATGTGGGATCTTACACCATTCAACGTAAATTTACTTATGTTGTGGATAAGGCCGCTGTAAATTTACATCGGTAGGTGATGAAGTTAATCTTGTCACCTAGATTTCATTAAACAGTTTGCAATTAAATAATACAGTACTAGAGTTTGACCTAGGTTGAATCCTGAGGATAATTGCTTAGTTTTGTTTCAAATCTTTATTTTCAATATCAAAAGCTAGGAAATATGGGGGTTTTGTAATTTTAGAATGCAAAAAAGTAAATTGAAAGCAATAAACCTAATATATCAATAAATGAAAATAATAAATCTAAGCTATGAAAGCATTCAAAGAAAACATTTAAATGAAAGTAGTAAAGAAAATTGTAAATCTAATCTATGAAAACTGTATATTAAGAACAGTGAATAAACTATGTTGATTCTCCAACCATAAACTTATTTTTATGATTATCATTGATTTCTATAGAATTATCTTGCAATCACAAAAACAAATCTACAACAACTCCACTCAATTACAATCTAGTTAATATTTGTATTCACATTTCAATTCTTAAATCAATCAATCACTTAAACCTCGAATTGAATTGTGACGTAAAAGAGATATTCAATCAAATAACATCAATTACATTTATTGTAATGAATTATAATCGGTTAGAATCATTAAAAATCAAATCTAAATTATTGAAAACAAGTTTTAACCAGTGAATCAACAACAAAAACAAATTAGAACATGATTAACAATTGAAACACAAATAATAGTATGAAAACAGTAAAGCAATAAGTGGAAGAAGATGTAGAAGATGAAAACAAAAAATAAAAACAAAGAATTAAAAGAAAAAGAAATAAATCTGATCAAGGATAACTTGAATTGATAAACTTCATAGCATTATTCGTACAAAAAACTCCATAAACAAACTTGGAAGCTAAACATCACTAAATACTAGAAAAATTTGTGAATGAACTTGTGACTAAAACTTAACTTATGTTTCTACAACTTCGAAGGTATATTTATACATATACTGAAGCATATGAAACATTCAAGACCCATTCGAGACCCATAATTACAAAAGATAAATCAATAAAACATTATGTAAAATTTGAAATTTGACTAATCCGCTGAACAGTTTCACATCCACTCAGCGGCTTAGAGTTAAATTAGTTACATGAGATTTTAAAATCAAAAAGCGTTGAGCGGATTCAAATCCGCTTAGCCGATTAAAAACCGCTTAATTAATTATTGATTTTTTGATGAAGAGTTCTCGGAACCGATTCCGCTCAGTAGATCTAAAACCGTTGAGCGGTTCGATGAACACATTCGAAGCACTCAACAAATTTACACTCTCAACTTTTGTAATTTCTTTAATTTATAATTCTTGAAAAAAAAATTAGTAAAAATGTATAATTTAAACAATAATTTATTTTAAGATATTTTTATTTTTTTTACAAAACTATATAATTATTAATAATTAATTAAATATATATTAAATATATATAAATTATATTAATAAAATATATTTATCAATATAGTCGTACCAACATAAATTTTACTATATTTTTTTAATTTTATCAAACTCTTTTTGATTTATTATATGTTCAATGTAAATTTATGTAGATATGTATAATGCGACGTAAATTTATATATGTTGAATAGTTATAAATTTATGTCTCTGTCACTGACGTCGATACTTATTTTTTACATAAAAAGATAAAGATAACAAAAATAAAATGTCACGTCTGCATTGAAGTTAGGTAAGGAATTGTAGGGTGAATTTGGTTGTTCTGCGAAGGTTCTCTTTGTTCCTAAATGTTCTTCTGGAGTGCATTGTTATTTCATTGCCTTGTAATCTTACTATTGTTTTTGAATTGTTGGCACTTCATTCTAAGTTATTTTTTGAGTTTGATGGTATTGATCGCTCTATTATTTGTATCATTGAATGTGAAATTGTGAATGCATAAGGTGGAGTCGTCAAAGTATTAATATAAGTAAATCTAATAATATTCTACTAATTATTTTTTAAATATTTCTTTATGAATCATTTAAAAATTTAAATTATATATTATTTGAAATTGTTTTATAATTATTTAGGATTATTTTATACTTATTTCACAATTTTATTCTTATTTTTGAACTAATTTTTTATAACAAGTAAAAATACACAAAACAGCAAACATCTTAAAAAATAAAAATTAACTCAATGTTAATTCTCTTTTAAGTTTTAAAATTGTCTCTTTTAATGATGATCTAAAAATTGAAATGATATATTATAGAATATCAATACTGTTATTATAATATTATCATAATATATATATATATATATATATATATATATATATATTTAACTATTTTTTTATAAATCTTAACCATTGAAAGATTAATTGTATCTATGAGAATTTGAACCATTAACATATATAGATTGTGGATTTATGTCAATATAAATTCATAATAATTATAATAACATTTTAATTAAAAAAATAATGAACACTATGTAAATAAACACCAAATCATTAATAAAATAAACTATTTTTGTAGTGAAATATTGGTTAATCCAAACTTACAAAAAAGAAACCCATTTGACCTAAACAAATTGGACTAATTCAAATGTTTCAACTATGCAACTGTATAAAAGCAGAGTTGGCAATACAGAAGAGAAGAAGATTTATAGTAACATGTGAAAATATATAATATCCCATACCCCATCCTCCAACATGTGATGATATTTACCACCTTCTTCTATTTATTTATTTTCATATATGTCCAATAACTTTATGCATGCACATTAAAAATATCTTAACTACTAGCCACTACTGATTAAGAGCTTATCACTAACTATACCTTACATCAGGATCAATCAACCTTCCATTGTAATAGCTGTCAAAAATAATAAATTTGAGTAGAACCCCACAAGACCCTACTTGATCTCACAAAGGACAGACACATTATTTGATTAATTTCACCCCACTTTATGATAATTAAAAAAATAAATAAAATCTTCCCGGCTAAGCAATGCTGAATAATGTGTAGCTAATTTTATTTGGAATATAAAACACACACATGTTTATATATATATATATATATATATATATATATATATATATATATATATATATATATATATATATATATATATATATATATATATTCAGTTCTACGATATTTGTAAGACTTTTTGTGAGAAAAAAAAACTTTTTTCTCATGAAAAATATATTACTTTTATGAATTAGGATCGTAAAAATAAGTCCATCAGTTTATATGAATTGACTCGTTACATGTTGGGTTAAAGAAAAAATAATTTAACTTAAGTGAGTGAGATTTATTTTAAGCTGAAATTTTTTTTAAACATTTTTAAGTCAACCCGATTGTATATATTTAACACCCTATTGACCAAAAAACTATATATCAATCTTTTGTGTGCATTTTATACAATATAAATTTAGAAGAAAGTACATCAGCATAAACTCTAGCAGAAGAAAGTACATCAGCATAATTAAATAGGTAACAAAAAGTTAGGAAAACCACTAATGTATGGTGGGGGAAATTTCAATGTTCTTAAGTGTTAAGGAAACATTAATGACTAAAAAAAAATGGACATAATGTGGGAGTCACAAGCTATATGGTATTAAGTAGCCAATATTTTAAGCTGGCTTCAACAATATTTTAAAGCAGTATTAATTATATAGCCAACAAAAACTATAGTTAAACAAATATAGTCTTTGATAGGGAAAAAAATACATGTCAACTATCAAAGAAAATTGTAAGTAATATTTGCACTATACATGCATCTTCATTTTATCCTAAAACTAGTTTGCCATAAAATCGATTAAATTGGTCTCAAACTGAACAAACCAAACAAAAATTATCAAAATATATTCGAAGCTATTTTGTGGGTATCACATTTAAGTCAATTAAGATCACATTTTAAAAGCTTGATATTAAGAACTCATAAGTAACTCGTTCATATATGTATATTATATAAAAATAGTTTTACATATGTGATATTATAATTTTTAATTTGAAATGTATTTTATCTATCTTTATAATAAGAGAAAAAAATTCACTAAAAAAACTAATTATAGTGATATAAATATTTATTACTAAAAGTTATAAAATTATCTTGTAATAATAATTTAATTGTCACTAATACACATGTCACTAATGTAATTGTAACAATATTTTTAAATATCACTAAAATTAAGTTTTATAGTAACAAAAGTATTTAACATTAATAATTATATATAATAGTAACAATAAATTGTTACAAATATATTAGACAATAATGATAAATAAATTTATCACTATTAAAAATTTATAAAAAAATAATTATTTTAATATAACAAATATCTTAAAAATACAATAATAAATTAATTATTATTTATAATTTATAGAAATAATTATTATTAATTTAACGTGGCAAATATATAAACAATAGTAATTATTTGTCATTATTAATATATATATATATATATATATATATATATGAATAAAGATAATAATAAATTAATAATTATTATTTATATTTTTTTATAATAACAATAATAAGAATAATTTTAATATTAAAATAAACAAATATTCAAACACAAATTATCCATTACATTGTAAATGATAAAAACTAAAACACAATAAATATTTATTAAGATTCTAAATTCAAATAAACAACTGGATATATTTTTACTCCAAGCTATTACAATTAAATAATTATTTTTAGAATAAAACAAAATAATAACAAGGACTATCTTCAACGAGTTTGATCCTGCGAAATAAAATAAAAATAATAATTAAGATTAATAAAAAAATAATTAACAATATTTTAGATATATAAATATGTAAACTAAAATTATTGGAGATATTTTAGTGAAAATATTAAAATAGTAAAACAATTTATTTCATTTGATGGAACAGTTGAATCATTATATACTTACTAATGATAAGTCACCTCATAAAATAGTCATGTTTTTCATCTCTTTTTTAATATTTAGTTTCACAGTAACTTGTTGAACTTCAAGCAAGATTGTAATTTAAGTTAAGGTTGAATATTAATATTAGTCAATTTTTACACTTATATCTCTAAATCATTTGATCTTTCTTGAGTATCTTCTAATTGACTTTGAA